ATATATATATAAAATCTATCAATGTATATAATCAGTCAATGAAACACAGATCGATAAAAAGATATAAAAACAATATATATATATAAAATCTATCAATGTATATAATCAGTCAATGAAACACAGATAGGCACTCCTCTGATACTCCCTGCTTTCAGCCTAGATCCATCTAACATCAGCTACAATATCCCTAGTAACACAACCCCTTCTAAATCCAACTTGCACTTTCGGCAGATCTCTGTTGTTGTGCTTTTCTAGTTGGTTTTGGATAATCTTCAGCAGAATCTTGCTTCCATGTGATATTAATGATATTGTTCAATAATTTCTACACTCTGTTGGATCACCATTCTTTGGAATGGGAACAAATACAGATATCTTCCAGTCAGTCGGCCAAGTGGTTGTCTCCAGATTTCTTGACTGAACTTGGTGAGCACATCTAGGGCAGCATCTGTGAGTTAAAAATAGGTCAATTACTGTACCAGCAATTCCTGAAGCTTCCCCCCACCCCCGCCCCAGTTCTTTCACAGCTTGAACTTCTTCCTTCATCACCATAGACTCTTGCTCATATGTTGTTACATGAAATTCTTCTGTGTCTGCCAATTCTTTTAGGTACAATGACTCTGTAGACTCTTCCCATCTTAATTTAATACTTCCTGGATTATTTACTATTTGGCCCAAAGCATCCTTAAGTACTGTAATTCGAGGTTTGAAATTGTTCTTCTGTTCCTTGAGCTTGAGAAATGCTGAGTGAGTTCAGCCCTTTTAATTTTCTGACTTGAGCTCCTTGCACATTTCATTGTAATACTTTATTTTATTTACTTTATTGTAGCTAATGTTAGGTGGCTATTGACTGAAAGCAGGGCGTACCAGAGGAGGGTCTATCTGTGTTTCATAGATTATGCAAAGGCATTTGACTGTGTGGATCACAAAAAACTGTGACTAACTCTGAGAAGAATGAGAATTCCAGAACACTTGATTGTGCTAATGCAAAACATATACTTGGATCAGGAGGCAGTCATCAGAACAGAGCAAGGAAACACTGCATAGTTTAAAACTGGGAAGGGTGTATACCAGGGATGTGTCATATTTCCATACCTTTTCAACATATATGCAGAACAAATTATCCAGGATGAGGAGAAATATGGCATCAGGATTGGAGGTAGACTCATCAATAATCACCATTATGCAGATGACACAACATTGCTTGCTGAAACTGAGGAGGACCTGAAGTGCTTGCTGCAACAGGTCAAGGACTGCAGCCTTCAATATGGATTGAGGCTCAAATATCAAGAAAACAAAGATTCTCACCACTGGGCCAATTGGCAGCATCATGATAGGTGGTAAAGAGATTGAGGTTATTCATAGTTTTAGTTTTCTTGGCTCCAGAAACAACACTCTTGGCACCAGCAGCCAGGAAATGAAAAGACATATTTTGATGGAAAAGTCTGCTGTTAGAGATTTCTCCAAAGTTCTGAAGAGCAATGATGTCATTCGGGAGACTAAGATGCACCTAATAGAGAGCTGGACAATAACTAGGAAGGATAGGAGAATTGATATCTTTGAGCAGTGGTGCTGGAGAAGAGTATTGAATATACCATGGACTGCTAATAAAATGAGGAGATCCATCCTGGAGAGGGTTAAACTTGGCTGCTCCTTGAAGGCAAGGATTCTGAAGCTTCGTCTGACACTTTGGACATGTTGCAAGGAGGGACCAGTCCTTGGAGAGGGACGTCATGCTTGGGAGGGTGGAGGAACAGTACAGGAGAGGAAAACCCTCTATGAGGTGGATTGATTCAGGGACTGGGGAAATGGGGTAGATGTGTACGAGACAGTGAGATTGGCATGGGACAGAACAGGGTTTAGGGCTATTGTGCATAGCATCTCTATGAGTTGTAGGCAACTCAATGGCACATAACAACGATTTTACACACACACACACACACACACACACACACACACACACACACACACACACTCATTCTTCTGAGTGGAGGAAAAATCTTGAGGGAGGAATATACCTAGTTTGGAACGATGTAACATAGGGTTCAGGGCAGTAGAGATAAAGTCTTCTTTGCAGCTCACTTAGCATGGTATCTTTGAACTGTTGTTAGGTGCTGTTGTGCTGCGTACAACCCACAGTGACCCTATGAAGAACAGATCTGAACCTTGTCTTATTCTGTGCCATCTTCACTCCCTGATACTTTAGAGCACATTAAGGCAGTCACCATATCAATCCATCTGGCCGAGGGTCTTCCTCTCCTTCCTCGACCCTCCATCTTTTCAAGCATAATTTCCTTCAAGCAATAGCCCCTCCTAGCAACATGCCTGAAGTATGTTAGGCAAAGCTTCGCCATCTTTGTCCTCAGAGAGCACTCTGGCTGCACCTTCTCCAAGACATCTTTTTTTTTTTCTTTTGGCCGTCCCTGGGATGTTCAGTGCTCTTTTCCAACAACCACAGCTCAAAGACATCAAATCTTCTTCTCTCATCCTGATTTACTGTTCAACTCCCAGACACAGCAAGTTATCAGAAAATCCATGGCCTGAATTAGATGCACCTTAGTCCTCAAACTGACAGCATTACTCCTCAATAATTTGGAGAGGTCCTTAACTGCAGACATTCCTAATGAAATACATTTTCTGATTTCCTAACTGCTGGTACCTTTGGATTAGAACCTCATTTTGCAAGTAAAGCATCTATAAGATTATGTATTTAATTTACTATTGTGATGCTCCTGTCAGAGCATACCATGTGGCCTCTCAGCTGGAATGTCACGTCCTCCGGTGACCAGAAGTACAAATGAGTGGCTGTATATTCTGATTCATGATCACTCCTTGTGTGTCATCATTACTGCAGTCTGGTTTCCAGTGATAGCTCTGGAGGATTGGTAGATTTGAACTGACAATCTTTCTGTTAAAACTTGACCATTTACACTAAGGCTTCCCTTCAATAGCATGAAAACTTAATGCACCTAGATCAGGCTATTCTTCCAGCCATCAGTTCTAAGCACATTTCCTTCTTTAAATTCTAAGCTCTTGTGTCACCTTTGCCCATTGGCTATCTTTTTATCATTTTCGTTGTTGTTGTTATTCTTTTTTTAAATTATACTAGTTTATTTACGAAATTCAAATACATTGTTTTCCAGACCAGACTCTTCCAATTTCCCTCCCCCCATCAAATTGTACAACCTCATGGTTAATCCCCCCTGAAAAATGCTCCAAATCCCTGGCAATAAGAGAGGTACAAATCAAAACCACAAAGAGATACAATCTCACTCCAGTAAAAGCGGCAGTTTTGCAGGGAAGCAAGTAATAACTGTTGGAGAGGATG